TCTCCATAATGAAGTCACACCCTAAAGAATCCTCCACCTCCACTTACTTAGCAAGGAAAAAATGACAAGTCTAAGATTATTGACACCTTAAAAAAATGCCCTTTTAGCCTTGCACGCATTGCTCTACTTCATCCAAGCACCTTTGTTCCTCCTTTGTATCCTCCTTATGGAAAACTCCTTTGAAAATCTACAAAATTCTTCCATACCGAGACTAGTATCTTCATGAAAGATAGAAAGAACATTAGGATTGAATTATACGTTGAGTTCATCAAAACCATCATGCCTTCTAAACTCACAAATTTATTCCTTCAAGAACATAATATCATAGATATTATACACAAAAGAGGATCCCAAGTCCATTCCTTCTTCAGATTTTCACCCACTGAAAGCACCAAATACATGAAATGGATGGTAGCCATTTTGCATTGTAAATACTCCTCAGCCCGGTCGAGAAAAGGCATTCCCACATTAACTACAAACAAACAACCTTTAGCAAAGTTTATTTAAAGGCTCGAGACAAAAAGAAAGATTCTAAGTACTTCCACAATGGTCAAAAGGTTCTCGACCGATAGAAACCCCATTGGTGTACCATATCATAGGTATACTAGATATGGGACACCTTTAACCCTTTAGTGCCTATTTTGTAACCATAAATAGTACCAACCAAGACCGTCTTTTTCAAATAGGCACTAAGGCCACCACAACTTGAAGAAAAAGAAAGAAGGATAAACGGTCTCTTGCCTTAGACCCTTTTCAATACCAATATCCTCCACTGGGCACACATTCACCAGCACTACTACAAAATACATCTATCTAAACATGTCATTACATTGGCTCCTCAATCAATTGAATTAATAACTCTTATTTAACTGTTTTTATATTAAAAGACTTTTCACTACGGTCTAACTAATAACCGTGGTTATATATTAACGCTTACAGATTTTGAATCCCAACACCATCAATTTTTCTTTTTTTGATTACAAAATGGTCATGTCACTTATATATATATATATATATATATATATATATATATATATATATATATATATATATATATATATATATATATATATATATATATATATATATATATATATATATATATATATATATATATATATATATATATATATATATATATATATATATATATATATATATATATATATATATATATATATATATATATATATATATATATATATATATATATATATATATATATATATATATATATATATATATATATATATATATATATATATATATATATATATATATATATATATATATATATATATATATATATATATGTGTGTGTGTGTGTGTGTGTCTATATATATATATATATATATATATATATATATATATATATATATATATATATATATATATATATATATATATATATATATATATATATATATATATATATATATATATATATATCACCACGGTCTAAGATAAAAATTGTTGTGTCATGTATCTATTTTTATTACGGTCTAAGGTAAAAACTATTGTGCAATGTATTTATTTTCATCAACCCTGGTGAAAAAGTATAATCTATTGTTAAGTGAAATTTTTCCATTCAGGACAGAACAACCGTCTCTCTCATAAAACCTTTCGAATATGTGATTTGAGTGTTTTTCCAACCCCTCGATGAATATATAATCTTTCGAATTGAATTAGAAAATAATAATATGAAAAATTAAGTTATGTTAGAAAAAAATTACACTAATCAATGCTTTATGTGCTTTCTTCAGGCCATTATCTCTATCTCACTCTTTGAATGTTAGAATTTGGCTTCATACTTCTAGTTCTTCAATCAACACTTCCTTTTTTTACTAGTTTATTCTGCAAAGTTAATATATTGTCGAATGAACATGTAAAAAAGGAAGAGTTTATTGAAGAATTAATTTTTTTAAACTAAATTCTAACCGTCAAAGAGAGAGAGACGAATAATGGATTATAGAAAGCTAAAAAAATGATTAGTGTACCTTGTTCTTCTAATATAACTTAATTTGTCATATTATTAATTTCTAAATCAGATCGAAAGGTAATATGTTTATTTAGAAGTTGAAAAAAGAAGCATTTCACTTAAGTTATAATAAACTTAAGTGAATATATCACAACAATTGTTAGTTTAACCATAGTGAAATACGGTACGCTAAGTCTTTCACTACGGTTGTAACTTTCAACCATTATGATATGTTCAAAAATATCTCAAAATTATGATACTGGGTATCGAACCCCTGACCTCCACATTTTACTACGATTATTCTTCATAACCGTAGTGATATGTAACACGCTACTATATTTTTATTATGATTATCATCCCGTGGTGGTAAAGTTGGCACATACTACCACACCTATATTACCAGGATTGATCAACTGTGATGATATCCCTTTTATAACCGTTGTGAAGCCTTTTCGTTTTAGTGTAAAACAAAAAGACTTTCTGAAAAGATAAAAGCTCTAATTCAAACCACCCACCTACTATCAAACCCAAATCTCTATAACATATAATCCAAAGACGACCAATGGACTGAGTCAAACCCCTTCTCAAAATCCACTTTGAACACAAAACACTTTAGCAAGATCTAATACCTTGTTAAGAACAACCATACCATCTACCAACTTCCTTCCCTTAACAAAGGTTGACTGTTCTAGGGAAATTAACTTCCCAATCATCCTTGGACTAATCCATCCTAGTGATCACTTTATCCATTTTTGAAGGAAAAAACCTAACAAAAAGAGATTAAACCTCAATTGACAAGAGACAAGGAAGGGATATCCTATCCAGGGAAAGCCTGGACACCTCAAAGTCAAATAAGTGCTACTTAAAGTACTTAGAGATCTCCTTTCAAACCTTATTCTGTAACTTTTTAAGGTTAAGTATATATGTAAACACTCTGAAAAGATCGAGTAAATAATGATCATGAGTGTGGGATTTTAGTGTTTAAAATAGGGTGTATTTATATAAACTATTGTGTTAGATATTATATAAAAATGATTTTATAATTTAGAGACTCTAAATTCTTTAAAATGATTTTATCTATGAACAAGTGTCAAAAATTCATTTCAATTCTCTCATTTAATGGTCTACAAAGGCTGATCAACCTTTATTGTGTGTCTATGAAACATATTTATTTGCTACTGAACCTAACTAATGATTTAGACAACACGGTCTAATATGGATTTGACATTAGTCAAACCCAAAGCACGGACTTCCGACTCATTTAAATCTGACAGCCAGTGGAATAATTTCTAATCCTCACGAGTCGGCTTGCATTTTTGTTTTCATTCTGTAGAATCCATAGAGCATGTGTTTATATCTAGTCCTAAAATTTGGTTGGTTTGAAGGGCGATTAGTGCATGGGTTGAGTGTCTTTGACATGTTTGGATAATTGTTGTGAGTATATGTTGGATTGGTTGTTGAAGTTGGTAGAATCTACACTTAAGAGGAATGCTTGTTTGATATGGTTCTGCACTTCTTGATCTTGATGTATTTGGTGGCAAAGAAATCAAATAATCTTTAACGATGGGTTAGGTTGACCGGTTGAAAATTTTCATAGAATTATCTACACTTCTTGATCGTGGTTACCTATTAGTGCTAACCATATGATTAAATGTAACTATTACGAGTGGTTCAATCGTCCTTCCAAATTTTTTTGTAAGAAATTAATGCACTAGCATAATTGCGTTGTATCTGAACATTGTTGTGGAGTATTCCCTTCGTTGTAAAACATTGATTTTGATTATAAAAAAAGAAACAATCTTAAACATAACAAAATTAATTTTAAACTTTAGAATCATTTTTTCCCCCCACAAAAGTGAATCAAAACATACTATCAGTTCTTCAAGTATGATAAATATCTCCAAATTTAAATTCAATTATGGAAAAATAACAGTGTTAGAACCCTTAAGTACTTAAGAGCTATTACATCTATGTGTTTATATTTAACTTGAGAAACTAGTTGTTTTTTAGGTTATATTGAAATAGCTAATTATCCTCGAAAAATTGAGACAATACCCGTGTTAAATTGTGAGAGTTCATTTCTAAAGTGATCTTTTGGTACCTTTTTAATGAAATAATTACCAAAACCAATTGTAAAAATATCGATTATCAAAAGTGATTATAATTTTGGTCCGCAATGTTTATGACCAAGAATCTTACAATTATATGCAAGCAAGCACAAGTGTCAAAATCCATGTTTATATGTAACTTAAAAGAGAAAGAAAGGACATGCATGTGTGACGAAAAAGTTTGTTAAACATGTCCCAACTCAGAAAGGAAACTCATGTGTAATAATCACGCAATACCAAAACAACAGCATTATTAGTGCATCATGGAACTTGATTAACAATAGTAACGCTCTCTTATAGTCATACATAAGGGGTGTTGATATCCAACCATAAATCAATCCAAAAAAATCAAAACCGCCAAAAATTAAATATCATTTGAATGTTCATATCAGATTTCAGATAAATATTTCAAAATCTATTCAAACCAAATCCAACATGTATCTGTTATTAGTATTATATATGTGTATATATTATCAAATTATTTAACATAATAAACATTTAAGGATTAAATAGTTGTTGAGTTTAATTTATGTTTAATACTAGTTTTGTTGTATTGGTGGATCATACTGACACAAGACAACTGTTTTGGATGATCCAGTGACATCTGTGCCCCACTCTCTATATCTCTCTTCTTCCATATCCATATCTACACAACACAATTATATCTATATACACATGCAGCTTTCTTTATTCCATTAGATCTGAAAAAGACTACTTACCCAACTTCCTTTTAATAATACTTCTCATTCACCCTCTTTCATCTCAACCAACTCAACAACAACATCTCTTCCATTCCATGCATGAAACCATTCAATTTCTAACTATCTTTCCCTCTTCAAAACCAAACTAAAAAAAAAACCTACTTTTTTCCACCCCTTAAGGCTAAAGTTCCTTATTTTGCTCCAAAAAAAACTATGTCACCAGATGAAACACAACAAACCTCGAAGTCTGCTAAAGACAACAGCATCAACAACCAACCAGGTTCTGGTGGTCGGAAAACATCTTCATCAACATCTTCCTCCACAAAACCACAGGAACAAAACATGAAGTGTCCAAGATGTGACTCACCCAACACAAAATTCTGCTACTACAACAACTACAGCTTAACACAACCGAGACATTTCTGCAAAACATGTAGAAGATATTGGACAAAAGGTGGAGCTTTACGCAATGTTCCAATCGGTGGTGGATGTAGAAAAAACAAGAGAGTGAAATCATCATCAAGACTCTCTTGTGATTCAAAGGATTCCGCTACTTCTTCTTCAGAGTTTGTTGGTGGTTTGAAATTTCTCCATTCTCTTTCTTCTCCTTCCATGGATTTTCATCTTGGTAATGGTTTACCTTTTCCTAGGCTTCAACTTCAGCACCACCCTCCTTTATTTAATCATTTTCCTTCTTATGGAGAAACTTCTTCTGCTATGAATTACCCTGCTACTTCAAATTCTGTTGCTGCTATGAATTACCCTTTTTCAACAGGTAATAGTAATTATAATGGTGCAATTCAAGGTTTGAGTTCAATGAATATCAATCATGGTAACAATAACATTGCTTCTTCTATTGAGTCATTGAGTTCCATGAACCAAGACTTGCACTGGAAGCTACAGCAACAGAGATTATCCATGCTGTTTGGTGGAGAAAACCAGAAAGATAATAACAATCAGACAGAGAAACCACTACAACCTATTTTGTTTCAGAATCTCGAGGTTTCAAAACCAGCTGGTGGGAATTTCTCTGTTGGAAATTCAAGAAGAGAAGGTACGAATGGCGGAGGAGATACACCGACTGAGTGGTTTTTCGGTAATTCTTATGGTTCTGCTGCTGCTACACCTACTGCAAGTGGTGGAGCTGGTCATGATAATGGAAGCAACTGGAATGGTGGTGGTGTTCATGCTTGGAATGATGTGCAGCAGCAATATAGTGCTATGCCCTAGCTTGAAGAAAGTTACAAATTACAATCTCGACCACTCAATCTGAAATGGATGGTCGAGATTGTTTAAAGTTAATTTTGTTATCATATAATCTGAGATTAACTATCAAAATCATTTACTATGTAGAGTCACTACTGCAGAAGATATGAGAGGATCAAGATTCAAGAAGGCTATGTTAAAAGGTAGATCTTTTTCTAGAAGTTACTTAGGAAGAAATTAATTAATAGGGCAACTTTGATATTTGAATCAAACTTCATTAGGTATATGTTAGTTATTATTTATGTATTGGTGTTTACATTTGGTTTAAAAAGAACATATATGTAATGTAGCAGATGGGAAAATTGAGACTATAATGTTTCTTCATATAACTAATTATCATTCTCATGTGTTCATATATATATTTAATCTTCAATTTTTACTTTCTATAGAAATTCCTTATTCTTACTCAAATAATACATAGTAGTAGCCAGTTAAATTTGTTGTGCCCTACTTTAGTTCCATTATTAATTATTGCCTTTATTATGATTCCTACATAAAAGAGAAAGCAAAATTTGGTGCTTTACTTGCACTCTATATCCTATTATTCTTATTATAATGTTGAAAGTTGTTTTTAGGTCATAATTTTACCGTTTTCACTAGTGAGCATAATATTGGGATCTGTGAAGGATAATTTTTGGAGTGTTGTGGATTGATTTGTTTTATATGTTGAGCACAGCATGTCTGTTAGTAGTACTGTATATCTATGATCTATGAGAAAACTGAGTGTAAGAGAGAGGAATGGAAAATGTATAACACAAAACACGCAGTGTGTGAGCGTAGCTTTCGCTGTTTGCCCTCTAATTAGCCCTGCACTATATCATCAATCCTTATATTATAGCCCTGCACTTCTCTCTCCTCTTATTATTGCAGTATGGTGCAATTTGGTGGTGCTGTCTGAAAAAGTGCTGCTTTTAAAAGTGAATTCAATCAATGAAACACTGTCACCATTTCAATAACACACATATTTTTTTTTATATATGTATATATTTATAAAGCTTAGGGTTTGGTTTTGGGTTTTTGGTTGAAGAAAACAAAACAAAAAAGGGAGTTATGTTTGATATATAGCTTTATAGAGTGTTGGAGAATGAAGCCTTTATTCATACGTGCTATTTTGCCACTGATTAAAATCGATTTTTCTCATTGCAACACTGTGTGATGTACAGAATGCAGAGAGGAAAAAGAAAAGCAGTGAGTTAGTGTTGTTGCTTTTGTTGCTTGTTTGTAGTGTATATATTCTTCACTTTCAATGTTACAGCGAAACAAGTTAGACCCCACAAATGTGATAAAAGATTTGCATTATTATATGCTACCTCTTTACTACTTTATTGCTCACATGTATCTATATACATGTATTTTCATGCAAACTGCATATTTTTCACTTGGTGTAAAATGTGTTGCTGAAATTTACCTATGTGGTTGTACAGTTTAGTTAATGAACATATATCTACGTAAAGTGAAAAATAATTACACATTATTTGAATGGTTGAATTGACTTTTATTAATTATAATGAAAAATGAATTTTATAATAATTAAAACTGAAATATAAATATTTTATTTTATTTTAATTTATGGAAAATAATAAAACTCAACTTTAAACCGAGTTCTAATTAAACATCCCACTACAAGAAAATTGCAATTTCCCAGATGATATTCACGTCACTAAGCCAAAAAAAACGTTACTGAACAAAATTTGCGACGTGGATAAAGCACGTCAGAAAAGCAACGATGGGAACATTTTCCCACGTGAAAATCACGTCACTAATCTGTGAAATGGAATTCACGCCATAAACCACCAAATTAATTGAAAAAGTTCCCACGTGAAAATCATAATTTCATTTGGGAAATCACTTTTCCCAAAGTACTTCAGCGTATTTAGTATTGCAGCATGCAAGTTTTTCCACGTGATTTCCATGTCACTAATTAGTGACATGGTTTCCATGCCACAAACAAAAATCTGTTTTAAGTTTAGTGACTTTGTTTTCACTTCATTGTTTAATTTAATAATAAAAAAAATATTAATGAATACAACGAATTAATAAATAATAAAATAAAAAAATTTAAATAATTTTCTATTAAACTTTTTAATTATTTTTAATATATACAATTATTAAAAGATATAAATATTTAGTTACATTATATTCACGTCACAAACATAAAAAATAATAAAAAAATTTGTCACGTAATATTCACGTCACAAACATAAATAATAATTAAAAAAAAGTTATCCATCGTCACTACTAAATATTTATGTCGCATTTGTGCCTCCATGTCGGATTGTCGCTTCCGCATTTCCTCCATTTCAGCATTTTGCCTATTTCTCATATTCTTCATTTCGGCCTTTAGGACCGCCTCACGTGCCTCCGCCTCTCGTCTCGCCTCAGATAGAGCTAACTCTCTCACTGTTGTCAATATTTCTGGTGTCAATTCTGCCGGACGAGATCCTACTTCCCCATCATCGAGTCTTTGAAATAAAGTTCGGTCCCCTTTTATATAATCGCCAGCCAAAGACCCAAGACCAAAAAAACACTCATTGACTCCCTTCCCGCCTACTGTTAAATTTCAAATATAAAGATCCACGCGTGGATCAAGCGGTGCATTCCCAATCGGTATATACTGAGGATTTTCAGTTAGAAATTGGGCAAGCAAGGTCTGATACAGCTCCTACACACACATAAAAAAATTTAAATTAAAATAAATATAGTTTAAACAATTTAATTATATACAATAATAATGAAATAAAATAATTCAACTATAAACAAGTTACCAAGGTTGATTTAGAATGGCCGTTAACAAACTCCCCTGATTTTTTGGTTCGGGTCTTCACAAATAGTTATAATTACCATTCGTTGACGATGTTCGCTGATACTGATACTTCCAATTGTACTAAGATAGTCACCTGCTTCATATGCCCTCATCTTTTTTGCATGTTCAGATCTTCTCTGAAAATCTTCTGTCTTCCACCACTCAATAAGTTCCCCAAATATTTCCTCGCTTATCCAGTTAGGACGAGTTTGATCTCTTTCCCAACGTTTTCTAGCATTCCTGAGCATGTCAGATAATCTGCTAGATACCTTACTTCTATTTTTTTTTTAATTTTGACCTCGTCAAAATTTTGCCAAGTACACATTTTCTGCAAGTTATATGACAGTCAAATAAAATGTTAGATATTTATATAACAAAAAATAATTATAAAATAACATAACTATAATAAAAATACAATTTACCTTGAATTTATCAAACCATATATCTTTCTCAGTATCTGGGAGTTCTCCGAAAGACTTAATGAGTTTTGTATATATCAATTGAATGACCCAGTTTACAGCTTTTGCAGCAGGCCGACATGGATCAAAACTAAACAACAATAATTTGAATGAGTATTAAACATAAAATGGAAATATATAGTTAAATAAATATTATAAATAAAAAACATACCCAGATCCCTCAAGCCTAATAAGATGTCGTCCTTCAACCACCAAAATCTCCCCTGCAACAGGATTTTCCTGCTCCTCATTGTTGCACCCTAAAATTTGCTCAACCTACTTCACTTGGTTTATGTTTCAATTGCATTAGCATTTGCATATAGAGTCATGTACATAGTCTAATCATCTGCATAGCATAGCATAGCAAATCATCCAACAAGGGACCAAGTACTATTCTCATCTCTCTGATCCTATCAAGAGGTTATTATTCAAATTCAAGCATATCCAAGTCATCAGAAAGAATGGGAAAGCTAAAGAAGGCAATGGATCAAGCAGTGCATCTATCTCCTATCTGAGGGCATCTGAAGATCATCAAAGAAGTGGTGAGTTGTGAATTGAGCATGGAGAGTATATAGACACCATCGGAGACTTAGAAAGTCATTTGGAGAAGGAGGAAAGTCATTGATATGATCACAAGAGTTGCAGTGAAAGACAGTCAACTAGGGTTTCATCTGGGTCAACCCTAGGTCAACTCTAGGTCAATTGATTGATTGAAAGGCATTAAGGGCTATCTGAGAGATGTGGGGTTCATCATTTGACATATAGAGAAGGATGTGGTGTTGTGCCAAGAAGAAATCAAGAGAAATCAAGGAGAAGAGGAGTTTCTAAATTAGGGTTTCTGTGTAAAATCCCCTAGTTTAGGTCAAACTTCCAAGCAAGATAAGTCAAAATTCAAGCTTCAAATGGATCCTTGGCCAACATGAAACTTGTATAGGATCTCAAGACCTTTAATTTGAGTGGTGGAAGACATCAAGGAGATTTATAGAACTCAAGTTATGGTCCTTGCAAGTTACAGGTCATCTGAGGTATCTGAAATTTTGTCTGTGAAAGTTACTTGTCTTCCAAGCAACTTTTACCCCTCAAGGAGATTTCAAATGGATTTCAGGTCAACATAAGAGTTGTTCCTCATTGTCTTAGCTTTCTATAATGGTATGGTATGCCTTCATATGATTTGTAGAACTCTACTTATGGTCTTGGAAAGCAAAGGGTATTTTGGTCATCTGAGAATTACAGGTCATTTCAAGCCTATGCCCAAAACTCATACAAGGAAGCTTCAAATGGAAAACTTCACAACATCAAACTTGCTCCAAATGACATTTTGAGTCTATAAAAGTGATCATGAAAGTTTGGAAAGGCTCATAGCTCAAGGTTTCAAATTTGGTGAATTTAATGAATAAAAAATGACCTAAAATGGAGATTTTTCATAATTTGGCCAAATGGGGTGATATTATAGGTCATTTTGATTGGAAAAAATGTTTTAAGAACATTGGCAAAATTGGATTTTTGATTTTGGTTCAAGATTTGAAAGTTATGCTTGGTTACTTACAAAAGAAGTTACATAATCAAAATCCAAGGGAAAGTGTGCATGAGAAGATTCTACAAAGTTCTAGAGGTTTCTAAGGTCATCTATATATTGAATGGAGTAACTTCATGCCATGGTTGGTGATTCATTTTTTCATAATACCAAGTTACACTTCATTCTT